TGTAATATACATACACAATGGAATATTACAGCCTTTTTTTTTTTTTTTTGTGGTTCTGGGGTTTGAACTCAGGGTCTCAAGCTTACTAGGCAGGCAAGTGCTCTACCACTTGAGCCACTGCATCAGCCCCTCTGACAGCAGTTTTTAACAACTCGCTTTCATCAACTCTTTCTCAAAGCATTTTAACAGTTCATGAAATAATCCTTCAAACTATTTCACTGATCTATGAAGTAGCTAATTAAATTATGTAATTATATTAATAGGTCAACAGAATCAAGAGGTCATGCAGGGGATCAAACCCAACTTATGAAAACAGAATTGTGGAGAAGTATATCAGAGAACAGTCTGTTAGCCTACTAACAATGTTGACACAAGTGTGCTCAAAACCAGGAGGTTTTACAGACAGAATGGAAAGTATGAAACAACCCATGTAAAGCAAAGTAGCAACTAATTGGAAGAGCTTCAACTGTAACAGCCTGTGGACCTTTACATACTACCTTTCTGCCACTAATATCTACTTTTGAAATTTTCTTCAATATAGTGAAGGGATGCTACTAATGTAATTCCTCTCTTGAAAAAAATAATCCTTACAGGACTTTAAACAGTTAATTGGGTTTAACAGTAGTCATTCATTCACTCCTTCAACAAATATATATTGAGAAGCTACAACCAAAAGAGTATTATGCTAAGATTATAATACAAGTAATAATGATGATGATACACAGATAAATAAAACTTTTCCTCTGTTAAATTTACTTATTCAATAAGCAGTCCTATTAACATATCATAAAACAGACCTGGATTTTCCAGAGCCAGTAAAAGAGTTAACACACTTATAGGTAAAGAAAAGGAAAAGAAAATCTCTCTCAAATCCATTTAGATCCTCCTAAAATCTAAAGCATACCTGCCCAACTCTAGCTCATCTTCCAGGTGAGAACACAGCACCTGTTTTGTTTGTTTTAGGCCTAATTATACAAATTCATTCTGTGGTATTAGAAATGTCACAATTTATAAGTTGTCCTACTGTATTCTCTTGCATGAATATATTTTAAATGTTTTAGTTAAAACATGTGCATTCGTGCTTTTTCCCATGCATTAAGAGTACAGCAAATTCACAATACTTTAAAATTCTGGTAACTTTAAAATCCATAGAATGAAGGTGAATCCAACAATTGAATGCATTTACTATGTATCTTTTTCTTTTCAAACTTTTTAAAAATAATAAACATGTTATGCTATAAAGCAAATCAAATTCCATAATGCCTCTTAAACAAAAACAAAAAACCTAATGCAAAAACTGGCATAAGCCAATAAAAATAAAATCATAAGAAACTAAATAAAAATTTTGTTATCTTCTATCATGAAGTAAACATTTTTCCTAGTAAGCATTATTGTTATTGTCCTTGTCATTATTGTCCTTAATAGTCGAGGAATTACCTGCCCCTGCCACATTCATTAACTTTCTTTTCTTCAATCCAACTTATCAATGTCTAGATTCCACTAGTTTTTTTTATTTGTTTGTTTTGCAGGGTTGAGGATTGAACCCAGCACTTTTGTGTACTAGGCAAGCACACTACAACTGAGCTACATTCCCCAGCACTTGGTTTTTAAGACAGGCCTCATAACGTAGCTCAGGCTGATCTTGAACTATTTATGTACCTCAAGCTGGCCTTGAATTCTCAGTCTTACTGCTTTCCCTCCCAAGTGCTGGGATCACATGCATGTACCACCATGTCCAGCTCCATGAGGTGTTGTTTGTTTGTTATGGTACTAGGGACTGAACTCAGGGCCTTCCATTAATTAGGTTTCAATCAGTAAACAGACGAACATTAATTTTTCATGACTCAGAAATTAAGTTCTGCTACAAAGGCTAATGCCTTCCTTTCAATGAAAAGCTAATTTATGTTACAATTCAAATTTCTTTTTTCTCATTTTCCAATCTGGCATAGGGAACAACTATATAAGAACAAGGTATAGGGGAAAAGAATTGTTATGCTTCATAAAGAATTCAGAAAAGGAAAGTTTGCAACTATTCATAATCCATTCTGCAAATAAAAGTATATAGAAGAAACATATATACTGATGGGGATTTGTCAAAGAAAGATATATTAGACAGTTGTGGACTGATTTTTGAAAATGTTACTCAAAGCTGGGCACAGTGGTTGGTACATGTCTATAGTCCAAGCTACTCAGGAGGCTGAGGTAGAATTCTTGTACCCAAGAGTTCAAGGCTAATCTATACAACACACCAAGATGCCGTCTTTAAAAACAAAAAAAAGTCACCTTCATTTCTTTACATATTTCATTCTTCATGAACTTGAAAATCAAAATTTTAATCTCTAAAAAATTAATTTCAGTTTATTAAAATATTTCTATTAATTAAAAAAAAGTCATAGAACTAGAAAAGTCCTCTGAAATCATCTAGTGGAAAACTAGAAATAATCTTCTCAAGGTCCTCAGCCTCAGGAGCTATACCTAAATTCATGGTTTGACTGTACTGTGAGATGAGACAAAAAAAAATGCATTTTTCTCAAATAAGAATACATGGAAGCAGAGACAAGGAAGCAGAAACTCTGCTATTGAAAAGCATAAAGACAGCTGAGAATCTCCAGAAATGCAGTGTTCTTTCAATTACATCACTCAGAATAAGGTTTTCCTAATGATCTGATTACATAGTAAAACTTAAGTTCTAGTAAATATTTCAATTCAAATCTTCATTTTTGTAAAGTAATAACAGTTGAAAGCTACCTACATTATTTTTACTGTATTCTTGTGAATTTAATGTATTAATACATGTTAAGAAGAAGGAATGCTACAATACTTTATTTTCCATTTTCCTTCTATGTGCACTCCTTTACCTTATGTCCGATTTATAGCAACTTCAGCCATCTAAGGAATAAACAGGCAACTGGAAAAAATAAGCTTCTGCACTTAAATAAATACATTTTACATTTAAAAAGCTATAAACACGTTCTTTCACTTGAGAAATACACACCCTAACATGAAAAGGCTAATCCAAAACACACCTTTTATCTCATATTCCATTTAAATTTTACCATTCTAAGTTTTAATATAGCTCTCTGCTGACCTTTAAAATACTTTTATAAAATGTATAATATGGAATTTAAGAAAAATATTTTCCCCCAAATCCCAAGATTTGAATGCCTTTTGTGGTCAAACCTAGTATATTACCATACAGCTTTTTTTTTTAACTTGCACCTTTCAGTATATTAGCTTATAACCTATTTTTCAGAAATTTGGAACTACTGTGTCTTTATCCTAAGATTGTATAAAAAGAACAACTTTCTAAACAAATATAAAATTAGTTTTTATATATTTTTGCCATTAATTAGTTTGAATTTATATGGCTAATTTTTTAATATATCACATTAGCAGACCCATGAGCATTAAAAACTGGAGGGCTATCATTGGGAAGTTTTGATATGATAATGTTAGCTTTTGAGAATGTATCCAACTTCAACAAGTCTAAGTTTGTTTGTTTTTTTAACTATCCTAAATATATATTCTAGAATATTACATTCTAAATATAATGCTCATATCTATGACTACATAAAAGCCAAAACTGTTAACATGTGTGAATCTTTAACATGATGACGGTGGCTTGATACCCAGTCATCAGAACTCTTCTACTGCGTTCGGACCTGATCTTGCTTCCACTTCTCCCAGCTCTTCAGGCCTGAAAATGGCATAGTTACTGCTGGAAAATGTGTAAGATTCACAAAGATACAAAACAGAAAGAAAGAAAGAATATGATGGAAATCATGTTAAAATATGTTTTAGAACTTTAATGATGGTGATGGTGATGATGATGATGATGACAATAATGGAAAGGCTAATACCCATTAAGAATTATTTAACCCTCACAAAACCCTGTAATTTTATGGCTGAGTAGTTAAGAAACTTGTTCGTGATCACACAGTTTGTAACTGGAAGGGCTAGGATTGAAATCAGGTCTATCTGACTGCACAGTCCATTCTCTTAATCATTATATTATCATTGCACTTCTCTAATTGTCAGTCAACATTTACTGAACACTCACTATATGTCTGCTGGTCACTCAGGATCTCACAATATGTAAATTAAGATAATTATTAAAGCATCAATCTAGAATCTCTCAACCCAAATAAATATTTATTTTTAAAACTTTCCAAGATCTTTTTTTATCAACAAATGCTTAAATCAGCAATTTGCTATATGAGAAATATCATGCAATATGCTGAAAGGATAACAAGGAATAAGACATGTTTTGCTTTTACTTCTGTTTTTGATTTTCCTGGGCATGGTTGCTCAGACCTATACTCCTAGCTACTTGGGAAGGCAAAGATCCAGAGGTTTGCAGTTCAAGGCCAGCTAAGACAAATAGTTACCAAGATCATATCTCATCTCTATCAATAAAAAGCTGGGCCTGGTGGCACACATATCATCCCAGTTGCTGAGAAGCATAAATAGGAGTATCTTGATCCAGACTGGCCCAGGGCATAACAGTGAGACCCTATTAAAAAATAATTAGTGAAAAAAGGACTGGTGGTATGGCTCAAGTGATAGCGTGCCTGCCTAACAAGTGCAAGGCCTGGAGTTCAAGCTCCAATATTTGCACCTCCTAACCCCCACCTCCAAAGATATAGTTTTGCCCTCAAGCCCCAAACAGAATATAGTATATACAAAATTTGGTATCAAAGACTTTTACAGTTTTAACAAAGCCATTTCTTACAAATAATTCTGCTAGTGGTTATTTTTTTTAAGAACTTCTTGTGTTGGGGCTATGGCTCAAGTGGTAGAATGCCTACTTAGCAAGCAAGAGGCCCTGAGTTCAAACCCTAGTAGCACTAAAAAAAAAAAGAACTTCTAAGGCCTACAAATCACTATTAAATTTTCATAAGGCAACATTTCTCCTACCACTAAAATGCTCATGTCCCATAATAATGCACATAATCAGGTTAAAAAAAAGTAAAAGGTGAAGGTATTTGCCATTAGCTTACATTTTCTATGACAAATGTCCACTCCTTGTCTTCAAATTCTTCTGCATGAGGATCCTGTAACAAAATCAAAGTATGAAACTGAAATATATACTAACCCAGTCAATCTAATTAAGAAAATACAAATAGCCTTTTTCTTAACTTTTACAACTCTAAAAGAAAGGAAGAAGCAAAATGATCTACTTTTTTTGATACTTCCACAATTCCTCTAAATTTAAATCATTTTATATTAAGAAATTTTCTACTTTATTTTATTTATTGGGGGCATTTCAGCTTCTTACTCTTATCATCAAGACTCCCTGTCTCCCATCGTCAATATTTATTGAGTATTTACAGTGTACTAGAGCACAGTAGAACACACAGAAAAACATTGTCCCTGCTCTTGAGGAACTCACAATCAAAAAGGAAAAAATTAATATACTTCTTTTAATACAGCATTTTTGTTTGGTGTTTTCTGTGAAGTGCAGAGGAATATTTTGTAGGGTGAGCTTTGGATATAACAGCCCCATTATTATTTATAAAAGAGTAAAATCATTATTTAGAGAAGAACTGTTGATACATATCACTATCTTCCATCACTGCATCTATGACAAGACAAAAATAAACCTAATTGGAGATAGAAAAACTAGTTACTGATCTATTAAGAAGTACTTTTATTATTTTTAAAATGCTCATACAAAGCTCTGCCCTCACTTTTACTGTTGTAAGTATTTAAAACTAAAAGTATCACATGAAGCACAAAATCTTTAATGAAGAGGTTATGTAAACATCTGGAATTTCTAAGTACTGTGAGAGATTTCATAATTTAGACAAACTGGCAAATTAACATGGGCTGTTGATATCCTCCTTCCATCTCTCCCCCATTAAGTAAATACCTCAGAAACCTGAGAAAGGGTAATAATAGACTCAATTCCCCCAATGCAATCTTTTTTAAAATGAGGCACACTTTTGCAGGCATTAATTTGACAAATATGTATTAAGTGCTGTGTATATTAGGTAAGAGATTGTAGAGGTGCTTCATAGATTTAAACATAATTGTTCTTGCCTTTAAAGACATGTACATAGGTGGGATTGTATAGGATTTCAATAGATAATAGAATGAATGGGGCCACATTATATGTGCATTTAACTTATTCAACTTCAATTCCATGTGTTAAAGGTCAGATAAAGTGGGAATACAGGAAGAGTGAGAGAGTATTTCAATTGAGCAGGTTTATATTCTAAGACTAAGCATATGCAGATTGGAGGTGGACTCTACTCCCTAATAGGAGGATATTTCCCTACTGGGTCTCAGGTCCCATATGCTTCTCATAGGAAAGTAACATTTATGGTTGATTTCACTTTGGTCTATTATTAGTCTTCTGTTTCTAAGGACACAGCTAAGTTTGTGTATAGACTATTTCAAGATAAAAGAGACTGCAGTAGTTTCTCAATTAGTCTGTTTTCCATTCAGTCTAGTACACAGAATTTTTCCAAACTACAGTTCTAACCATATTAGCACAATTCAATCTATGAGATAAATCCCAAACTCCTTACTTATTTTTTGTTCACTTATTTTATACTACAATGATATGGCAACTGGCTCATACAGTCTGAGCTATATTGAGGCAACTATTTTTAGGAGTAAATTCACATGGATGAGATAAAAACCTACCAAAAGAAGTTTTTTTGGTGATGGTAGACAGGGGGATGATACACACAATACTGAGGAAAGACATCCTACCATCCTCCAGACCTCACTTTTGTTTTGGGGGGATGCAGCATAGCTCTAGCTCAATTAGTATCAAAATAATAGCAATATAAAATTATTTACTGGGCACTCACCATGTCCCAGTTATTGTGCTAAATGTTTTATTCCCATTTAATGGAACAGAAAACTGAAACTAAAAAGATATAATTTCTCACAGTGAACAACTAAATGTTAAAACTATACTGCAAGTCAGATGTGGTGGTACACACCTATAATCCTAGTTACTGAGGAGGTAGAGGCAGGAGGATTGCAGAATTTCAAGTTAGAGGCCAGTCCAGAAAAAGTTAGCAAGACCTAATCTCAAAAGAAAAAAAAAGTATAGGGGGTAGTGCTAGGGAGCATTGCTTAGGTGGTAGAACAAGTGCAAGTCCTGGGTTCAACCTCCAATAATCCACACACACATGGGGTGGGGGAAGCTATCCTGCAGTTCCATGTCTATCTGACTTTTATCTACTTTGTTGGTTCAGTTTAAGCACTGTGTCCCCAAGACCAAGAAAAGTACCTGGCAGGCAACCCAAGAATACTTGACAAATGGATCAATAAATCTATAGCTTACAAATCACCTATTTGACAGTGCTTTACAAATAATATGATACACTTTAATTCTTAAAGTAAATTCTTTAAAAATACAGATAATACATTACCCCTAAAAGAATTTTTACTAAGGAATAATTTCACTAGGTGCAAAACACATCTGATAGGGCAAAGCCAGTAAATGGATGTGAAAGAAGCAGTAATAATGTGTATTTTTATGGCACTTAAAGTGGTGTCTCAACATAATTAACTATTTATACTATTGACCAGCCAAAAACATTTTTAATGAGAATGGCTTCTAGCCTGAATCAATTAAGCCTTCTTTATTTACTTCTCTCTCTCTTTTGTCTCTTTCTTACCATTGTACTAAAGAAAAAAATTGAAATGGCTTCAGCCATTTTCTATTTCAAAACACTAAAGGGTGTTTAAAAATTTTTTTTACTAGAAACAGTTATTTTTAGTTTAATTCAAATTTCAAATACAAGCATGTAAAAAATCAACTTTTAGTTAGGTCACAGAAAAATGAAACACACTGATAACTTTCCTCACAAGCATTTTCTGTGAGTTTACCTCTGTGAATGCTCCACTAAAGACAAAGAGGTTCAAAGCAGCCCATTCTATTTGCAAATTTCAAAATTAAGTAAATGGTGAGAAAATATAAAGAACTTTTTCATTTGAATATTTAAATGTTGTTCAAAAATGAGGTCTAAAAATTACCAGGAAAGAATAAAATTGTTTCATTTTGTACAGTCTTATTTTTCTGCTTTTCTATTAGAATTTTGGGTAAGAGGGGATAAGAAAGTTAAGAAGATAAAAGTATCTGTTGAAAATACTTGTTTAAATATTGAAAATGGTCACAAGGTCACACCAATAATACAACTGAGCAGAAATGTTTTCTGCCACAAACTAGAGAGGAAGGGGTGCTTTCCTACATCCTAATACTCAAAGACATAAACATTCAGCATAAGCATAGGCTAAACATTCTCATCAGTACTCAAAAACTACACTTATCTCTAATCCTTCAAGTAACACATTTCAACAGCCACTTTCAACTCAGAATCAGTCAGTGCATATCCTTACCCCAAACACATGGCTGTCAGCTATATTTCAGCTCCATTCTACCTTGTTTGTTCTCTGCCATCATCTTTTTTTTTAAAGTTATATAACTATACCCATTCATTTGTTTTACCAAAATAAGCAACAGAATTAATAAAAATACTCAAGATAGAGGGCTAGATGTATGGCTCAAGCATTACAGCAACTGCCTAGCAACCTCAAAGCCCTGAGTTCAAACCCTAGAACTGAAAAATAAAAACCTTCAAGAGATTAAAGTTTTCCTTCAAGCATATCAAAGCTCTTACTACTGTAGTCAATATTCATAACTTGTTATTACATAGACAGTACCGTGTAAAGAACAGGGCTAACTCAGGGTATCTGGGCAAGTTACCTTCCTTTCTAGTCTCAGTTTCCTTATCAGTAAAATGGGAATAATTACAGAACTTTAGGATGCTGTGAGAATTATGTGAAATAATGCATGTAAGAGACTCAGAGATGTGTGTGTGTGTGCGCAATATACGACAAGCATAATCAAGTAATTTTTTTATTTTGATAAGTTGCTAGATTTTTTTAATTCATTTATTCATATGTGCATACATTGTTTGGGCCATTTTCCCCCCCTGCCTTCCCCTTCCCTCTCCCCCTACCCCTCTCGATTCCAGGCAGAACCTGTTCTGCCCTTTTCTCCAATTTTATTGAAAAATAGACATAAGCAATAATAAGAAAGACATAGCATTTTTGGTAGTTGAGATAAGGATAGCTATACAGAGAGATTCCTAACATTGCTTCCATGCACAAGTGTGTTACAACCCAAATTAATTCATCTCTACCTGATCTTTTCACTAGTTCCCGATCACCTTCCCATATTGACCTCTGTTGCTTTAAGGTAATGTTTTAATGTCAATAACAAAAATATAAAAACTAAAAATATACATAAATGTTTCAATAATCTTATTAAACAGAGTATCTATGAAACAGAGCATTTAAAAATAGTACTACATCTATGGGCTACTACATTAACATTCATCAAATTGTTTTGTTCTACTGATCTCTGCAATACTTCCTGAATAAATGTGTTATAGTTTGAATATGAAATGTACCCCACAGGCTCCTGTGTTGAAAGCTTGGTCCCCAGGTGACCAAGGTGACCAAGTTTCAGGGTAGAACTTTAGGAGGTGGGGATTAGCTGGGGGAAGTAGGTCACTGGAGGAATGCCTTTGAAGGGCACATTTGTCCTGGGGCTCCTTTCTCTGTTTCTCTCTGCCTCTGAGCTGCTATGAGGTGAGCATCTCTGCTCCACATTGCCCCCTCCACCATGAAGTTCATCATGCTTACAACATGCCTGCCAACTAATCATAAACTAAATCCTATGAAACCATAAACCAAAATAAATCTTTCCTTCTTTAAGCTGTTTCTATCAGGTATTTGTCACTGTGATGAAAAATCTGACTAGCATGAAATGAATTAATATACTAGACCACAAAATCAAAAGTACTCTAAACTGTACTTTTTCTTTGCTCTACTTTAACTTCACTTCCTAAAATATTTAGTCTTTTCACAAACTTTGTATTATTAAATTATATTTAATTTAATATTCCTTCCTTTTGTCTACTATAAAAGTAACTTCAGCCCAATTTGACTCATTAAAAGAAGAAACAAAGCATTGGTTTTCTAATTCCACCAACTTCCAAAAAGGCTAAATCTGGGACATATTTGT